ACGTGTTTAAATTGGTTCAGTGTATTCATATTTCAGATGACTTCGAACAAGCTCTTCGTTACGAAGGGATACTTCTGGGTGAGTCGGATATTCGGTCATCCGATGCTACAACACCAATGAGAACGGTGCACAAACGAAAGATGTAAGTGTTGCATTTACAGTTTGTTGGTATTTCAGAGTACCCGTGGTGCTATCGGACCTTGAGGTGGCAGCGCCTGTTCAGAAGAAAACAACGCAGCAGTACTCAAAGATGCTTTCGTATGTCAATCCGCCAGTTAAGCCGACGGATACAGATAAGTCAGACACTCACTGGCGATAAGTAATATAAATTGTTAACATAATCTTCAATTCTTCATAGATCACTTCTCGCTATTACACAGCCAAAACAGGTGCCACAGACAAGTAGCGACGAATTAACTGATTCTGGATTACTCCTTTGTAAACCATTTTTAACACATATGCAGCTCTTTGATCGGTGATGTTATCAGTCCAAGTAGGCGGACTGCAGCGTCAAGGTAAGGCACGAAACACAGATGGTTAAACGTTTTAGTTCACGAATAGACATCTCTGATGTCTGATGAAAAATCTAAATTGGTGCACAAATCATCTCAGAGGTGATAATTATTGACATTATTCATTTATGTTGTTGATTGTAGCCCGTTGAATGCGGTCAGTAAACCGTCCTACATTACTATGGAAAGTAAATTGCTTACGGAGCTCGGTAAGACTTTCTTGTAAAATGTGTAATTTTAAATTTAAGTTGCAAAGTTAAAAAAACGCAAAAATCGACCGAATGAAGAGGTCGATTCACCTCCTACGTGGCGAAGTAAACGCGCTTTCACTAAGTAGAATTTGCCAAGTGCAAATAACTTTGCCAGTTAAAACGTTGGATGATTTCGACCTTCTGGAGGAGGAACTGCTAAATACTGAGAAAGCGTCCGATTTTGTAAATTATCGTGAATATGTTTGCGGATTATTTAAATTACAGGTTACGCATTTAACATAAAGCGGCGGCGAGACAATCGGTGATTCGATTCGGTCCATGATTCGAAGAGTTCTTTCCACATCAGTATGTAGGCAACTGAACTGAATACATGGCTGGGCTCCATTATCGACATCGACGGTGACACATTGCATCCTTGGTGAGTTAATAAATATCACTAGAATTGTCTTTATGATATGCGCGATGAAAGCCCTTACAAATTTTACTTTCATTTCAGATGCTGTTATCAAGCTTCAACACTGGGGATATTCTCTTGAGGATGCCAGCAGAATCATGAAACGGTTTGTGCAAATAAACCGATGAACATGATTCATGATAACGTCTAAGCTATTTTGTACTTTATTAACATCAAATATGTTTATCAAGATGCTCCTCTTTATTTGTTTTATTTCCATGACGTACTGAAGTTGTGTCATTGCGTGATCGGTAATAAGGCGCGTTAGAAATGACAGATGTATTTACGCATCCCGGCAGAAGGATTGAAATTATGGATTAAATGCGTCAAATCGCTACGTCAGGTGGCGATTTCCTACGTAAACCACAATCGCGTTAAGTGGTTCTGGTAGCGTTTTAGTATGCGATTTGGATCAAAATAATACTACGAAATCTGTCAAGTTATAGCGATCTGGTAGCATATCAGTAGCGGTATAGTAGCACTCCAGTAATCTAATAGTAGTCTTTTTCCAAGCAGGGCAAGCACGTTGGGTGGTATGAAGAAAGTGACACGTGTCAGGCGAACACCATTGTCCTCTTAGAGTCCCTTCCAGTCATTTACCGTCCCGTTACAGTCCCGAATGGGGAAGTCCTCTTAGGTACCCAATTTGAGTGCGTTAGGACTCTAAGAGGATGATGGTGTTGGCAGGGACGCAATTACGAGCGAGGGTTATCAACAGTAGGCTAAGGGACTGGAGTCTGTCTTCTTCCGAGTTACATGCTCATACCAGTCCCTTCCAGATAAAAGTTCAAGTGGTTCCTACTGGATCGTACTAAAGAAAATACTGCCAAGTGAGGCGAGAATTTCAAAAGATGTCGAAGCGCATCGAGAACATTGGAGCTCGATTGTGCAAGAAACTGGACGGTCCTCTGG